GTATTATCGTAACCAGGTTGACGCGATTTGTAAGTTTGAGAAAAAAAGTATGAATAGAAAGAAAATGTACATTTATTAATTACAGATAATTTTTAATACAGTTTTTTTATATTATTTTGTTTTAAAATATAAAAATAGCAATTAAACCCTTCTGGTTTCGAATTTGAATAAGTTGCAGAATTACTTTTTCGGCGGAAATCTTTTGGCTATTGCTTTTAGCACTGATTGAAAACCGTCTTCGCCATTAACAGCTGAGCTTGGCGCCATATAAATTCGATAAGGTATGAGTAAAGATGATAACGGGCTGTTCCTCTCTGTTTTTTGTTGCGCCATTTGGCTGAGCCCCACATGCGCTCTACATGTTGTGTGTGAACGCCCGTGTTGGGATCCACAAAGTTATATTTATGATCAACAGTTCCATGCAGAAATCCAGCATTTTCGAACTCACTTATATGGTATCCTTTCCAGCAATCCGAATAAATGATGCTTCCTTCCTTGATATTTTCACAAATTTTTTCCATGAGGGTAACGGCACTTCTGTTAGGTACAGTAACCAAAATAGTCTCTTTCTTTTCTCGGCAAATTCCGACGAAAACCCATTGCTGTGGTAGTACATGCCCAGTGTTATTTTTTCTTTTTACAAATAAACTTTCGTCTAAACAGGTAGGGTTGCCATAAGTAGGGTCGCCAAATTTGGCGATTTATGCGAATTTTGGCCTGGTTGCGTTAATTCGTAAGTACCAAATTTAGATAGTAATATAGTGCCGTGGAGTTTAAACATTTTTGGAGAGAAATTTGTCACCAACCAAGTGTATGTATAAGAGCAGATCCTGTAGTCAATTTGAATGATGGGAAAAGATTTGTAAGAGCGGCTCTACTCTTATATGCGCCCCAAGATCACCAAATGTGGCGATATGTGTTCTGCGTTGGTTTTTGGTGCGGTTGCATGTTGTATGACAACCCTTTTGACGTTGAAAACTCTTTTGCTGGAGTGGTTTATTTGCTCGTTGGTTCGTGTCATGCATGTTTTGAAATGGCCTATGTTGCAATGATAGACGTGGTGGCAAGATTTCAGTCGCGTATTTTAGATTGTGTGGAAAAAAAACTTAGTATTAAAAGGTATGATGTTGGAGTTGTTAACGAGTCTTTTGTTCATGGGTGTGTTTATGAGGATCTAAGTGTATTTTTGGAATTTCTGTGGGACTTTTAAAACGGTGTTTGAAATGCAGAGCTGCTATGAGAACTTGGACAAAGAAGGGCATTTCTGATAGTTCTTGTGTAGATTTGCAGTCAAATCCTTGCTGGTAAAGTATGTGGCTGTCAGTGGAGTTTAAGATTTAGATCGTGGTTTTCATGTAGTAAGTTAACTTTGGGGGATGTTTTTATCGTTATTTTCGAAATTTTGAATTGCAGAAAGACATGTGATATAGCAAATCGAGGCACTTTTTGTTCACAGACGTTGTGTGACTGGCGAAATTTTATTAATGAATGTATTATGGTAAGTACATTTTATTTTACTGTTTTTATTTTGTAGAATGTTATGTTCATTGCTTTTTTATTATGAATTTCTGTTGTTATTGTTGTTTTTTGAACTGTTTATAATTTTAGTTATTTTAGCTTATTTTGTTGATTTGTGCGCAATGCCTGGATTGTGCAATTCGTAGATTTTTTTTTTAAGTTTAAACAGGATGGTGTGTACATGGTATTCTTTGAAATTTACTGTTGTTATGTTAATTTATTATTAAAGCAAGGTGCGCGTTGTTGATAAATTTCTTCGCTGCCTAGATTGTGCAATTCGTAGATTTTTTTTTTTTTTTAAAGTTAAAACATATCGCTGTGTACATAGATTCTTGTCAAATATTTTTGGTTAGAAACTTTATGTTTTTGCTATCTAAATTTCTTGTTTCTGTTTCGGATTTTTAGCTTAAATTGTGTGTTTGAAACGTGGTTTCTGCATGTGTGAAAACAGTGTTTTTGGAGACATTTCAGTCCTAAAGTTTGAAATGTAGACAAAAAATTTAGATAGTAATATGGCAGCGTGGAGTTTCTCACTAAAAATGTTTGGCGAGAAATTTGGCGACCTGAGGGCGCATATAAGAATAGTTCCGTAAGGGCTTGTGGTGTGTGTTGGTTAGGATGTTCGTTGCTTGTTTTGATGTTTAGACAGTAAAATGGCTGAAGGTAGTAAGAGAGCAATTTGAAGTTTCTGTACAATTTGGAATGAAAGGGGAAATAAGCATTAATTGATTGGTATGTAAATGAATGTTTACTTAGTAGCCATTATTAGTGTCCTTGTTTGTAGAAAGGAAATTTATATGATCGAACGTCGGAGGATACCGGCACTACGGAGGATATTTTTGACTCTTATCTCTGTGAATTTATGTGACAACTTCGGCATACGCATTCTAGTTCAGATAATTTTAACAAGTTTTTGGATGCTGTTAAGGAATTTTGTTTGATTGAAATTCGTAAATAAGGTAAGTATATATTTCCTTCATGTAGTGCTAAGATGAATTTCCTTTTTTATGTTATTTTAGTGTTTGATTTAAAATGTAGTTTATTGAGATTATATATTTTTTGTCATCTGCTTCTTTGACCTTGTTAAGTGAATATAGATCGATGTATACATGGAAAAAGGGAGTGCACAATGCCTAATTTGTGCAATTCTCCGATTTTCTTTTAAAAGTGAAAATAGGTCGATGTGTACACGGATACCGAGTTTGTGCAATCCTTTGACATGTTATTTTGGATTTGTGTAGTGGCGATTTTTAGCGCAAAAATCACCGCTACACAAAGTCAAAATAATGAGTTGAAGAATTGCACAATTTCAGTGTCCATGTACCGCCAAGAATCGCCAATTATCGCTAAGGGGCACCCATAAATATATTTTTACCAAACAACATTATCAATTCTGCCTTTTCTCAATTACACATATTTATTCCATATACTTTTAGTTCCATACCGTAAAAGATATCCAAATTACTTAAAAGCATACTGGATTTCTAAAGTCATTCAAATAAATTAAAATATATCTAGCAATTATATATATTGAATTAAGCTCGAGTCTAAAACCCACTTCAGATTTGAAATTATAATCTCTAAACATTAATAAAAAAACTGGAAGAGTTGAAACCTTTAGGAGCCCTTTAAGAACCCAGTTATTCTTTCCAAGAGGTCTCATATTTTCAGCTACTATATTACTTTGCTATGAAACACTACTGAACAAACATTTCACAACTTAATCACAAAATAACTGGGTTACTCTTTGAATTATGGTAACTTGGCAATTTTTTGACGACCAACCCTGCTACAGCAACCTGCTAGTTTTTTTTGAAGCCATTTTGTTTTCACGAAGTAAAGGCTTTTTTTTTTTACTCAACATTTTTTACTAACAATCTGCTACCCGAATTAAGCTTATGCTAGAACTTTTATGGAACAAAAGTGCTTAATCATGACGATGATTAGGTGCGAAATTGGGAGAAAGTGAAGAATCACCCTCTGCTTGCCGCGTTTTTAAGAATTGACAATACACGGTATCATCCATGTACATGTCGACCTATTTTCACTTAAAAAAACATCCCAGAACTTCACAAAAATGGCATTGCGCACACTCTTGACTTTATCCATGTACACTGCTAAAGTCCTAGCTAGTAACCTTTATTGCCTTACCAAAATGTCGCCAAACTACCTGTTAACATATTCCAAAGATTAGCCAATAACTGTTGCCACACACAAATTAGTCATAAATGCTGTATATCTTGATAATCGCATATAGTTTGTCGCCAAAAAATATACTACAATACATTTGTAAGTGACTATATCTATGACTGGTTTATTGTAGTTCACTCTGAGACCTGGCTGGTCTCGATTCAGCAATTCATAATGAATAAATTTCAAATTCACAGTCCAATCAAAAACAGCCTTTTGATTTTGAAATGAAAATTTGATTTATACTATAAAGAGGGGGAAAAAGTGATTTTTATGGAAGAACTTAAGAAACGTCTTGCTTACTGAGCAGCTTACAAAACATATGCTGCACAACAAACTTTAATAAAATTCACTGTCTAAAAAATTGAGTATATGATAAGGAAAAAAGAAAGTTATCTACATCCAAAAAAACACAGAAATTAATACGCTTAAATATAGAGTTAAAATATCAAAATTTAAACAGACTTCATTTAGATTTCATATATACAATGTTTATTCAGACTACATTAATTTTCAAGTTGAACAATAAGAAGGTTCAGCTTGAAAATTAATGTAGTCTGATAACTTTAAAGTCTGTCAAATTGAAAATCAAGGTAGCCTTTTACAGGAAAAATAATTTTTTGGAGAACAGACGTTTTAATAATTATAAACAGAAATCCCAAATGAAAACTCTAAATCTTTACTTACTAAATAACATAGGATATAAATGTGAAGCAACAACCTGCGTTAGGCATAGATTTTTAACCCAGAAACTATCGATTTCGATGGCAAACAAAGTCCCTCTTCATCATGAGCAAAGAAATCTGCAACTGAAAAACCATATTATGGGTATAAATATATTTGTAACTTGGTTTTTGTGTTGCAAATTTCTTTGCTCCTGATGAAGAGGGATGTTGTTCGCCCTCGCAATCGATAGAATTTCTATGCTAAAAATCTATGCCTAACACAGATTGTTGCTTCACTTTTATATCTTATTTGAGGCATCTTTCTCTTATGAGCATAGGATATATTTCTTGAGCATAGGATATATTTCACTTCACTATTAATGTGGGGAATAAAGATAAAATCTTATTGAAATTACGTGTGTTTTTCTTTGAATGAAATTTAAAGTGTTTATTTCCCATTCTTAAACATATACAAATACACATAAAATATATATATGAATGAGAATAAAGAGAAGGGAAAACTTGAATGACCGAAAACCATTCATGATAAACAAATCATACTTACAAAAGGAATGTACAGTACACAATTTTAAGTTACGTTTATTCATAAACAAAATAAGTACTTACGGTTTGCGAAATAGAATCATCCGGACTATTAGCCGATTCATGATCAAGTTCAATAACTACATTATCAGATTCTTTCGAAAATGTTACGTATCTCTCTCTTATAACATTAGGGATTTCGTCAGTACAAGTTTTAAAATTATCCGAAAGATCTGATATATCTGAGTTTTTTTTTTCCTTTAATTTAGCAGGTTCCTGCATTTCTGAGATCATCTACTATAATAGAATATTTTAATAGTCATGAAGGAAACACACCAACTGAACCGTCATAAAAGATATTTTATCAGAAACAAACTGACAGCAACTAGGTTTCTGTTTTTTCTGCTTTCTGTAACGGGCAATGATCGACATTCAAAATTACGGTGATGTTTATTAAAAGCATGCATTCAGAAAATTATCAGCTAGATATTATTCAAATTTTAAAATGTTGAGGAAAAATGGATGAGGAAAACAAGCTACACACGAAGGAACATCGCGAACACATCCGAAACCTTCGTGTTACTTTACAACCAGTATTTAGAGCAGACAGCAAGATGTTTTTACCCAACTCAAAAACGCCCCCGCCAAAATTCATCTTCTTAATAACAAAAGTTTCGCTTATTAATGGGCTGTGTCTTCAAATACTCAAAGATAATGATACAATTTTAATTTCCTGTGGTTAATGTTTTATCCTATTAACAAGAAATTTTCTTTACTTAAGATATTTATTTAGTCGTATTCCCATTCCTAAATATCACGGTGCATTTAGCTGACCATATGCATAATTAGGGTTCACTGACCACTCGGTACCATGCTGAACGGACAGTATTATATATTTTTTCGGACCGCTTCATGGATTTAATAAATATAATAGTTTTGCTCAATTTTTAATAAAAGCTATAAATATGGTTGTTGTTTCATAACCCATAGAATGTCTGATGGGTTCAGTTCATATTTTCTTTCTCAAAGATGTTAGTTACGTTCCTCGTTTCTGAAGAAAATTGTTCGAGTCAAAGCAACACCTTCAAACCAAAGCCAATTTAGTCAAAGCAACACCGTTGTTGTATCGGGGGCTTTTCCTTCGTGGTAGATTTCTTTGCTCCCAATGAAGAGGGACCTGTACATTTTGCCCTCGAAATCGATAGTCTTGACTAAAATCTACGCTAAACACAAAGTTGTTGCCTTGTCTAATGTTATGTTGTAATTTGGCATGTTTATCTTCTCTCATGGTTGGAGATGCTTGCATGGCATTACGGTAGTAGTTTTAAAGAAATCAATAATGTACATTTCAGACATATGGAAGCTGTTCTGAAATTTCATGAATAGAGATTATTATTCATTGTGTGGCTCGGTAAGAGGTTTAGAGCAGATTTCGGTATAGAAATAGGTGTTTTCTCACTCTTCACACTTTTCTAAGAGACATATCAGTTTTCAGAGAGTCGGAATAGGAAATTATAAAAATTAAGTATATGGCAGCTTTCGCCTCTTAACCAGTGCAGGATTTACATATAAGCTATACAAGCTATAGCTTAGGTCACCCCCCAAAACCTCTAGGTATCCGAAAATCATATTTGGCACTAACATATAATATCTGGACTTATAAAGGGTCCCGTATCTCAAATAGCTTAGGGCCTCATCAAGTCTAAATACAGCCTTGCTCTTAACCCGTCTGAAGATTACTTCATCTTAATTCTTTCTCAAGTGTTTTAAAAGCCGTAGAAATCTCAAGCTGAGAGGCATAGGCCACATGGAGGAAGGTTTAGAGACCCCCCATAGATTTTATTCGCGGCTTCCATAGCCTGTGCCCAGTGCCGGTGCAACTGGTGCCTCTGCACCGGGGCAACAAAAAGGCCTACTGCCGACTCTGCCTGTACCATATGTAGTCTGGGATTATCCTCGCGGATAAACTGGTCTCGCGAAGCAGTCGAAGCAATTTGTTTTTCACGAATTACTCTTCGCCAAACATTAGCATAATAATCTTCATTTGCAGATTTTTTCCTTTGGAATCGAACACGAAGGACCAGCGCTAGAGTCTTAACAAGCGAGGGACAACGGGGGGAGGAGAAAATGTTTAGAACCTAAGCATGGCTGAATTTAGAAGAGACAGAGATTGCAACGTGGAGGAACCCTAGAGCCGGACCTGATTCCATGTATATCAAAAAATTAAATTAACAGTAACATTTTGATGAACCAGATAACCTGAATTTCTTTGGAGAGGATGAGTCGCTGTATTGCCACACTCAGACTGCTAATTTTGAGTCATAAATGACTGAACTAGGACTCATCAAGAGTGATTATTCTATTCAGGAAATTAGGTATGTTTAACTGCACAATAAAGACTGGGCTTACTGAGTGACATAAAATTGTGTTCTTGACTCAGAGACTGTGACACTTGTCTTGCACAATCACGAGACATTTTAGGACCAAGGACCAAGGAAGGGTTCTATTACGGGGCTCTTAGACATGTAGCCTTTATCCCCACATAGTCAAAGAATTATCTTTATCGCCAAAAAGAGGGTTCCGCAAAGAGGTAAATTTAGTGCCAAAATGTTAATTTAACAAAAAGAGTAACTGCCTGCCACAGTGAAAAAAGGTAAAAACACTGAAGGAATAAATTTAGTAATTTTGGTGTCGAATAAGGGCCAGAATCAATATGGAGGGATTACATCGTGAATTTTGAAAAGCATTTATGTTTCCTTGATCAATGGTCATGTGGTGTTAACAACACGAGAGCGGAAACACTCGCGAAAAACTTCATGCCGCAAGGGCTTCGGGTGTAGGGGAGGGGAAAAGCGAGAACTCGTTAGGGAAGTTTGAATTAAAGAGACACGGCCAGCAATACCTCTGAGGAGAAACTTTTATAAATATAATAAGATTGCGTTAAATTTAAGTGTTATGATAACTAATGAAAAGCATTAAGTTCTCTTAAAGAGATTAAATTAAGTAATCCTTGCACTAGAACCCTTTTAAGAAGGGAACAAAGATGTGCTTAGAACCTGATAACAACCGCTTACGGTTGAAAGAAGTAAGATTGCCCAATTACGGGACAAAGAGAGAGTGACCCGCTTATTCACAAAGCCTACAGACCGTTTCTTCTGCTGTTTGCTCCGATTGGTTAAAAGAGGTAGGGTTACAGAATCTAGTGCTTGGCGACTCTTGGTTCATCGCCTTTACAATTTGTATCTGAGCGTCGTGTACCAAAAAGTGAGCATAACCCACCGGAGAAACCGCAGCCCAGTGGTAACGAGCGCGAGAATAATTATCAGACTTCTAGGTTGCCGATTCTATCCCCGCTCGTAACTTTCATAAACTCTGCTTTATACGGATTTATTTTTATTTTAACTTTATTCAATGACTTTGTCATTATTTGTCTTTTCGCCTTCGGGTACGGTGTTAAAAATTAAACGCCTTTATTTTCTCTATTTTTGTTAATGTTAATTTTTCTTATTTTTATTTACTGGTTTGTACTCTTTGTAGTAGGTACCAGTAAGCAAGATTACGATCCAAGATCCCGAAAAGCGTTTCAATAGATATAGCGCATAATGGAATAAAATATAATTTTAGTTATACTTACTAGTAAAAAGAATAGGTATCCGACACCCTTAAATGTTTACTGAATGTTTTCATTAGGTTAATTTTTTAATATTCCTTTATTTGTATAAATTAATGCGCTATGAAAATTTACACAATAGACTCTTCCTAAGTGAAATAACGGAAAAGTGCATATGCTGTCTCAATATAAACACCTTTTCTTGTAAAACAATTACGTACTTTTAAAAGTTTAAATTCAAATACAAATAAACTATTAATAAGATCAGTAGGTTATTTAAGATATATTCCCCACAATTCCTCTAAGCTTTCATTCATAAACTAAAAAAAATATTGAATGAAATAAACGCTGTTTCCGTTTGTTTGCTGTTAATTACCACTCCTACAGGGCGATAACTCGCCATTCCAAATATGACCGCCAAGCAGATGTTTCCTCCAATGAGAGCAGCCCGTAACGAAATTGTCTGTAGGTTTTGTGAATATGCGAGTGACCCTGAGGGAAGCTGAAAGATCAGCGAATTCACTCAGGCGGGGGGGGGAGAGAACGAGTGTATTTAAATTTTCGAGGCGCCTCGTCTCCATAGTAACACCTCTTGGGAAAGGAAGCGCATTATATGCGTTCTCCAGAATAGCTCTGGGTCTCTTTTTTGACGATGCAATTCCCGGATGATAAACAGGGAGGCTGTGGAGTACGGGGTTTCCGATCGAAGGAATCTTTTGAGAAAAGGTAACTGAAAGTTGCTGTATAAAACGATTTATGGAGAGGATTTTGGCTGCATTATGAATGTCCTCGTTCGTAACAAACCAAGGAGCTTTATAAATTTGCCGTAGCATAATGTTCTGAAAAATTTGGATATGTTTCCTGTTAGTAATTGCTGCTGCACCCCAAACCGGGCTAGCATATGTCAAAATTGGCCTTATCATTGATTTATAGAGCAAAATCCTGTTTTTCGTGTACAGGTCGCTATTTCTAGCGAAAAAAAGGCAGTTATTTGGTTTTGAAAACCTTCGCATTGGAAATTGTTTTTTGAATGGGAGGTTGCCAAGTTAATTTTGAATCAAGTATCACTCCTAGATACTTATAGGTAGGAACTCAGGGAACTGGTTCTCCGAAGAACTGTAAGTTAGGTAAATTTGGGAAAGTACTTCGGATAAATAAAGTGGCAGCACATTTAGCGACATTAATTTTGATCTTTTGAAAGATAATTCTGCAGTGCAGAAATTACCGTGGAGGTGTTGGAATGTTGGTTCATGATGGCTGTGTCGTCCGCATATAAAGCTAGATCGACATTAGGTGACTTAGGTATGTCATTTACGTAGATGTTGAACATTTGAGGTCCGAGCAAACTTCCTTGTGGGACCCCAGCACAGATCGGGCGGGGAGTTGAGTATTCATGGCGAACTGGCACCTGAAAGGATCTCTGAGTACGAGTTGATAGTTTTAATGAGTTGTGCCGAAAAATCAAGCCGCATGAACTTGTAAATAAGCCCATCATGCCTTTGATAGTCCTGTCAAAGGCCTTGGCAATGTCAAGATCCACAATTCCAGTTTTCTCTCGTTTACGAAAACCCTCGTGAATGAATTCCACTACACGGAGTAACTGGTGTACCGTGGAGTGTTCAGGCCGGAAGCCAAATTGTTCCGGGATTATTAAATTTCGATCACGGCAGAATTCATTCAGGCGTTTAAGTAAAACAAATTCATATATTTTTGAGAGAGATGATAAGAGGCTAATAGGCCTGTAGTTGACGGGGAGATTTAAATTTTGACCCGGTTTTGGAATAGGAATGACTGCGGCAATTTTCCAACAATCAAGGAAGTAACACCTTTTAAGCATAACGTTAATCAAGACCGTTATCCATACAATATACATAATGGGGAAGTTTTTAATCATGCGATTCGAAATTTGATCTATGCCAGGGGCCTTCTTCAGCTTCATTTTTTCGATGAACTCCAGCACTTCAGTTGGATCAGTCGGCCTGAGATCAGGCGTGATGGGTTGTGTTAAGAAATGTTTAACACGTGAGTGTATG